AGGCCGGGCCGGTCCAGGTAACGTGCAGGCCGGGCCGGTCCAGGTAATGTGCAGGCCGGGCCGGTCTCAGGCTTTGATGTGGTTTTATGAATCAGAACAAAGAAAACTAGTGAATGAACAATCTAAAATTGTGTTAATCGATTGTTGAGGAGGAGGCAGGTCCGACCGGCCGGTTTAAGAGATTAAAAAAAGGCACGTTAAGCTCAGATGGACAACCTGTCACCGGCTGTGCACGTGAGCGTCTGCTGACCCGCCGGTTGAAATGGACTGGAGCCCTGTCCAGGTGTCCCCCCCCTCTGTCACAGCGATGGCTGCACATGGGCACCAGCGACCCCCGCTACCCGAAAAGGAAGAAGCGGTTAAATAAAATGGCCGGATGTCGATGGATCACGCGCACGTCTCGTACCTCCCGTCATCTGCGATGAAGTGGAAGGAAAAGCCAAAAATGCACAAAGAATAAAAAAACATCCGAATCGAGCAGCGCGTTCATTTAAAATAACTTTGTTCTATATTTTTCCAAATGATTTTGCTTAAACAAAATCTAATCCGCCTCATGACGCATCAGACTCCGCCCATTTCTGTCCAAATCCCAGAGATGCCATTGGATTAGTTTTATCTCAGGACCTGGGAGCTCAGCAGCAGTAGGTCAAGTGTGGGGAGTTTTAACTTTACAGATTACTGACGGTCCGATTCACACGGGATTAACAACACGGACAGTTTCTGTCATTATTACAAACAGCATGTGGTCCCTTGGTGAAACTAATCCCGTGTGATTAGGGTTTTACAGCGATTCCTGATGGATCCAGTGAAGAAAACTAACATCCGGGTCCAGGTTTTCCTTTCACTTTACCCTGGATTCTTTTCAGCAGCCCGACATGTTTTACACTTCAATCTGTTGAAGTGACATGTCACAAGCTGCAGTCTCTCGTGACGGCAGACGGTATAAAAATCCTCTCCCCGTGTTTTAAAAACTCCTTTTTCTCAAAACTGTTGTTAATCCCACAGATAAAAATTAGAAGCTGAGCAGTTTATTACTTTCATCCAGTGCCAACAAACCGTAACTTAAAGGACTCTGTGCCTTTCAGCTGATTTTCATGAGTCCGTTCCACACGGTGCGTCACAGTCCTGTGGGGGGGGGTGGCTCAAATATAATGCCCTGATACTTCAGAGCATTCTGACAATAACAATACATGTCGCGATGTAACCAAAAAGAATCAGTTATTTATTTGACAAAATTAACATGTTGCTTTGTAATATTATATAAAAATAAATTCAGTAGAGTTTCAGCTGGCAGCGGCGGATGGCACGGTGGATTGTGTTCACTGACAATGCTTTCTGGAAGTATTCCTGAGCCCATTCTGTTATTTCCTTGACAGTAGCATTCCTGTTTGAGGTGCAGTGACGTTTAAGGGCCCGGAGATCACGAGCATCCAGTAGAGTTTTACGGCCTTGACCCTTACGCACAGCGATTGTTCCAGATTCTCTGAATCTTTTGATGATGTTATGCACGGTTGATGATGATAACTTAAAAGTCTTTGCTATTTTACGCTGGGTAACACCATTCTGGTATTGCTGCACTATCTTTCTGTGCAACAATGGTGGAATTGGTGATCCTCTTACCATCTTGGCTTCTGAGAGACACTGACACTCTGAGAAGCTCTTTTTATACCAATCATGTTGTCAATTGACCTAATTAGTGTTAATTGGTCTTCCAGCTGTTCGTTATATGCTCAATTTCCTTTTTCCAGCCACTTATTGCTACTTGTCCCAACTTTTTTGGGATTTGTTGACACTGTGAAATTTTGAATCAACATATTTTTCCTTTAAAATGTTACATTTACTCAGATTAAACTTTGGATCTGTCATCTATGTTAAATTACGAATAAAATATTGACATTTGCCATCTCCACATCATTGCATTCAGTTTTTATTCACAATTTGTTTAGTGTCCCAACTTTTTTGGAATCCAGTTTGTACTTTATTCAACAATTCCTGGGGGAGAACCCCCACCAGTGAGTCCCCCCCCCCCCACATTACAAATGCTTCTGAGAACTTTACTAATTGTCTTTACGTGTTGTACGTGAATGTTCCTGTAAAGTGTCCTGAGACAACTTTGTTATAAATAAACTGATGAGATGAACGACGGTTTTGTGTTCGTCGACGAATGATGGTTGCGTGTCGACGGACGACTGTTGCGTGGTTGTCGACGGACGAGGGTTGCGT